CTTTTATCACCTAGGCTGGAGTGCAATGGCACAATCTTGGCTCACTGCAACCTCTGCCTCCCAGGTTCAATTGATTCTCCTGCCTCAGCCTCCCGAGTAGTTGGAATTACAGGCACCCGCCACTACACCCGGCTAATTTTTGTATTTTTAGTAGAGACTGGGCTTCACCATGTTGGCCAGGCTGGTCTTGAACTCCTGACCTCAGGTGATCCACCCGCCTTGGCCTCCCAAAATGCTGGGATTACAAGTGTGAGCCACCACACCCGGCCAGATCACTAACTTTCAAGGATAGGATGCCTGGGTAAAATGGGCAGTTTTCCTAGTTGAGGCCAGCAGATTCCTCAGCTTCATGTTTTTGTCCCTTTCCTCTGGCTGAGGATGACTTGTTCCTCCACCACGGAAGCCTGGAAATGGCCAGCTGTGGATTCTGAAAAGGTATGTTTTAGACACATTCAAACAAATCTAGGTATTTTGGTCACTCAGATACTAGCAATGCTGAGGCCCCTGGGTCCCCTCTGTTTCTAGTGTACTTAAGGAAAGCTTTCTGAGCCTGTATTGGGTGTGCCTAGAACTAATCCTGATGGAGAGACACTGCATACAGAGGTAGCCAATGTGTCTTGTGCTTGTTTAATCTGTACTTTGATCTCTTTGTGAATTTTTGTTTTCATGTGTCTGATCTTCCCACAATCTGAAATGATTCATTTGACTATAATAATCCCTCTGGAATAACTTTCATTCTCAGACATTTCAGCTCATTTTAGAAAATCAGCTCACCATTGAGTGTCCAGGATCTGAAGAATGAAAACCCTTCAAAAGATAGCTGCTGACAGGGAAGAATCCCTGCTACCTCCTCTGCTTGCTTTAAGTCCTTGCTGAGTGAGAAGGGAGCCCCAGCATTTTCTACAGGAGAATATAAGGATTCAATCTGGACTTGCCTCAGTTCTCTTCGGGTTTCTGAAGTCAGCAGCTCAAGGACTTAGTCTGGCAACTTTATGGAGAGAGGGTGGGAGGAGTATCTTCTTAGTCATGTAGTAAAACGCATTGCAGTGCACCTTTGTACCGAGCACAAGGCCAAGTCCCCAGCCAAGGACCTTGAAAGGAAGAGCTAAACCATGAGTCTGCCCTAGGCCTAGCCAAGAGAGGCATCAAGCCAAGAGGTCTCTCCACTCATCCCTGGCACCAAGCCTCTAAGCAGAGGCAACCCAAAGCTGCCAGAGTTAGATCCTATAGGGACAGGTATGAACCACCTTAAAGTCCAGCTCCTAGACTGTGGGCTGCAAAGCTGAGACTAAAGAAAAACATACCAATCTATATCACTGTGGGCAACTTGCACTAATTAATTGCAAAAAGTTAATTTCCTTTTTGCAAAGTGCTGACAAAAGCAAAGTAATATTTACACAGTCAATGTGGTTACTCACTACTGTGTGTTAAGCACTGCACTGGGCACCAGATGCTTGTGAGAGTAGAGTAGAAAACAGCCTAGGCTTTAGAGCAAGACATGCTTGGGAGTCTGATCCCCAGTCTGAGTTTTATTTCCTCATCTAAAGGAGAGCGAATGCCATGTTCAGAGGATTAGAAATTAGATTAGATAATGTAACTCAGGACAGTCACTAGCACACTTAATAGTGATGATGGTAATAGCTAATGTTCACTCAACACTTACTATGTGCCAGATGCTGTTCCTAGGCTAAACCAATATTTAACTCAATCTTTCAACAATCCTATGAGGAAGGCCTATATTAGTTTTGAGGCTTGTGAAAAAGGTACTATATTTGCATTTTTACACAGGTAAAAACAGATCCTGAGATGTTAAGTAACTTGTCCAAAGTCACAAAGCTAGTAAGTGGCATAACTAGGATATGAAGGCAGCACATCATTGGGATTGAGAGCAGGCTCTGGAACCAGACTGTCTGAGTTAAATGCCCAATAAATTTTAACACTTTTTATTATTAGCTACATATGTTTCATTCCCTCATTTATTTGGCTTATGACATACGAATTATCCCCATTTATCTGAGGGAACAGGCTTGGATGGCAAGAGTCCTCTTTGCCTGATCAAATACATTCTGTGATCCACCCCATGCTTAACTCCCTATTAGAGCCACTGTCCTCCAAAACATGCTTGCTCCACTTAGCTGGTTTGGAAGCCATCCTTCCTGCTAAAGAGGCCTTTTATGCTTCTCTCTGTTGCTATCACCCCCTCCTCCATAGCCTACTATTTTTACTCACACAAAATACACACATTCCTATTGTAAAAGATTTGAATACACAGAGTCCTTACTGATGGAAATTGACATTGGGACCATTTACTAGTATAAACAATGCTGCAATGAACCTAATAGTATATATGTCTTATAAAAATACATTTCTGGGCCGGGCACGGTGGCTCAAGCCTGTAATCCCAGCACTTTGGGAGGCCGAGACGGGCGGATCATGAGGTCAGGAGATCAAGACCATCCTGGCTAACACAGTGAAACCCCGTCTCTACTAAAAAAATACAAAAAAACTAGCCGGGCGAGGTGGCGGGCGCCTGTAGTCCCAGCTACTCGGGATGCTGAAGCAGGAGAATGGTGTAAACCCGGGAGGCGGAGCTTGCAGTGAGCTGAGATCCGGCCATTGCACTCCAGCCTGGGCAACAGAGCGAGACTCCGTCTCAAAAAAAAAAAAAAAAAAAAAAACAAACACCTTTCTGGCCAGGCACAGGGGCTCATACCTGTAATCCCAACACTTTGAGAGGCTGAGGTGGGAGGATCACTTGAGCCCAGGAGTTTGAGACTAGCCTGGGCAACATATTGAGACCTCATCTCTACCAAAAACAAAAACGAAATTTCTCTGATTATCCATGATGTAGAGCATATTTATAGTTTCCTATGTTTTGTGGCTTGTTCACTTTTTTTTTTGAGATGGAGTCTCGCTCTGTCACCCAGGCTGGAGTGCGGTGGCAGGATCTCAGCTCACTGCAACCTCTGCTGCCTCCTGGGTTCAAGCAATTCTCCTGCCTCAGCCTCCCAAGTAGCTGGGATTACAGGCACATGCCTGGCTAATTTTTTTGTTTTTAGTAGAGACAGGATTTCGCCATGTTGGCCAGGCTGGTCTCAAACTCCTCATCTCAAGTGATCCACCCAGTTCTGCCTCCCAAAGTGTTGAGATTACAGGCGTGAGCCACTGCGCCTGCCTTATTTGTTCACTTTTCTATCCAACTATGTGCTTCTTAGTGGCTTCCAGGTACTTTTTATTCTGGATGGTAATCTTTTCTGCTATAATTTACAAATAGGTAATGTCTACTTCATCTTTATTATTTATTTATTTATTGAGACAGTCTCACTCCATCACCCAGGCTGGAATGCAGTGGTGCAATCTTGGCTCACTGCCATCTCTACCTCTCAGATTCAAGTGATTCTCCTGCCTCAGACTCCCAAGTAGCTGGGATTATACTCAGCATGCACCACCATGCCTGGCTAATTTTTTTGTATTTTTAGCAGAGATGGGGTTTTGCCACGTTGGCCAGGCTGGTCTTGAACTCCTGACCTCAAGTGAGCCACCATGCCTGCCCTACTTCATCTTTAAAAGTTCAACTCAACTCATCCCTTCTCTTCTTTGAGATTCTTGCTGAAAACTCCAGTGCACACTGCTTATTTTCTCTGATGAATCAGCACTGAGCACACACACATAGCAATTTGTCTTTATAATTTGCCTGGTTATCCCCTTCAGCCAGAAATAGGATTGTTCTTTAAACTCCTATCTTCTCCCCTCTTTTCTCTTTACTTCTTCCCCAGATACTGGCATGAAGGCTCAAAGCAAATTTTAAGGCCTACTATACCTCAGATTTGGGCTTCTAATAGATCGATCCTGAAGCAATATTTGTTATTGTCTGGGTGTGGTGGCTCATACCTGTAATCCCAGCACTTTGGGAGGCTGAGGAGGGTGGATCACTTGAGGTCAGGAGTTCGAGACCAGCCTGGCCAACATGGTGAAACCCTGTTCCCTACTAAAAATACAAAAATTAGCCGCGTGTGGTACTGCTTACCTGTAGTCCCAGCTACTTGGGAGGCTGATGCAGGGGGATCACTTGAATTTGGGAGGCAGAGGTTGCAGTCAGCCCAGATTGCACTATTGCATTCCAGCCTGGGCGACAGAGCAAGACTCCATCTCAAAAAAAAAAAAAAAAAAAAAAAAAAAAAAAATAGAATAGAATGGAAGAGTTTTGTTGAAGAAAAATGAGAATTGATATGCAACTGTTTTGAATCAGAAAACACAACCTACTAAAAGGGGGAGTTATTCAGCTCCAGCAAATTGTTAAGAGGGAATAAAAGTCAATGTTAACAGCTTTTCCACTTTTTAAAAGCTGAAAATCTGTATGTTAGTGTTAAATATACTTTAAAAATGTTAGCCCAACTTTGTGTGTTTGTTGGGTTGGGAGCAGGTTAAAGCCAGACTCGGTATCTGTTAATTCAACAGAATCTAGCATTTAATAGGTACTCAATATTTGAATAATTAGCTGGGTGTGGTGATGCACACACCTGTGGTTCCAGCTACTTGAGAGGCTTAGGTGGGAGGATGGCCTGAGCCCACTGAGGATGCAGTGAGCCCTGATTGCACCACTGCACTCCAGCCTGGGCAACAGAGATTCCGTCTCAAAAAAACAAAACAAAAACATATTTGAATAAAAAGTTTCCCCATTTGCTTTCTTCCTTCCACTAAACTGACTGAAACATCCAGAACAAGTGATGAAAGAGAAAAGCACTAATCAGGTAATCAATTTACCATTAGATTGTGAATTTAATTTAAAATAAAATGTCCCTAAAATCATCTCAGTACTTGGCACACTGACCCAAGATGTGGGGTGGGGGAGCATCCCTTACCACATTCTTTGTTTTCCTGGCAAATACTGGTGGAACAAGACAGCTGCGGATGTGTGAGATCTGACCACGAACATATGACAGCTGTTTGTGCCAGTCACGTCTAAACCCATGGCTCTCAACTCCAGATCCAAAAACTATCCCCATGTTTTATACCTCCCACACCCAGCATTTAGGATTTCTTCCTCTATAATCCTGCTGGGTGCTGATCTTGGCAGGCCCATCTACTGGGGATAGGTGGTTTGAGGTCTCAGTGGTGGGCACTGGCTTGTTCTTTCCTCCTCTGCAGCTCCTCTCGCCGCCTCGACTGCTGTTCACTCATGCAATCCTTGAACGCCTGCACCTGTGGCTGGCATTGCCGCCAGTCCTGGTGCTGGGCCATGCACTCCTGCACTGCAAAGTGGGAGGCAGCACAGCCAGAGCGGGAGATCAGCTGGTCCAGCGGGTCCTCCTCCTCATCCTCCTTCTTCACCCGTTGGGTCCAGGTATGGCCTTGAGGGGCTGAGGTTGACATCCTGGGGATGGGGAGTCTATAGAACATTAACAGAGACAAGGTTAGAGTGGGGATATAATATGTAAGGTTCCTAGATTATAAATAGCACTGACCAGACTGCACCGTTTAGCCTGTTTATGTCTCCCGTGGGAGACTCGAAGCTTGCAGACAGATGCTTGTGTTTTGTTTCATTTTGTTTTTTAAGGGTGTCTTGCTTTGTTGCCCAGGCTCACTGTAGCCTCCATCTTTAGGGATCAAGCAATCCTTCCGCCTCAGTTCCTCCCCAGCCAGAGTAGCTGGGACTACAGGTGTGCATCACCACACTCAGCTAATTTTTTTGATTTTTTGATAGATACAAGGTTTTTCCATGTTGCTCAGCATGGTCTCAAAACCCTGGGCTGAAGCGATCCTCCTGCCTTGGCCTCCTGAAGTGCTGAGATTACAGGTGTGAGCCAACTGTGCCCAGCTGATGTTTGTCTTGATTTACCTTTGTGCCTCCAGCACTAGGCCTAGCTGAGAGCAGGCCTGCAAAGTGGTTTGAACTGAATGAGATAAACCATGTGAGAATGCTTGACATAACATTCAATAAGTTCAATGGATTTTGCTATTGGAATATTAATTAGGTGAAATGTCATCTTTTTAGATAAGCTATCTCTGATCTACCTAAAAAGAACTAAACTTTCAGCTAGGTACGATGGCTCAAACCTGTAATCCTAGCATTTTGGGAGGCTGAGGAAGGAAGATCCCTTGAGCCCAGGAGTTTGAGACCAGCCTGGGTTATGGCAAGACCTCATCTCTACAAAAAAATTTTAAAATGACTGGGTACGGTGGCTCACGCCTATAATCCCAGCACTCTGGGAGACTGAGGTGGTTGGATTACCTGAGGTCGGGAGATCAAGACCAGCCTGACCAACATGGAGAAAGCCTGTCTCTACTAAAAATACAAAATCAGCCAGGCATCGTGGCGTATGCCTGTAATCCCAGCTACTCAGGAGGCTGAGGCAGGAGAATCGTTTGAACCCGGGAGGCGGAGGTTGTGGTGAGCCGAGATCACACCACTGCACTCCAGCCTGGGGAACAAGAGTGAAACTCTGAGGCCTCAAAAAAAAAAAAAAAATAAGAAAGAAAGAAAAAAAATTTAAAAATTAGCTGGGCATGGTGGCACACACTTGTAGTCCCAGGTTCTCAAGAGGCTGAAGAGGGAGAATCCCTTGAGCCCAGGAGTTGAAAGGCTGCAGTGAGCTATGATGCTGCCACTATACTCCAGCTTAGGTGACATGGTGAGACCCAGTTTCAAATAAATAAATAACTGTTCTTCTTTTATCCTGCTAGTCTTATTCTATGCTGAAGAACAAAGTTTAAAAAGTGAAAGAGGCTGGATGTGGTGGCTCACACCTGTAATCCCAACACTTTGGGAGGCCGAGGCAAGTGGAGCACGAGGTCAGAAGTTCAAGACCAGCCTGGCCAAGATGGTGAAGCCCCATCTCCACTAAAAATATAAAAATTAGGTGGGCACGATGGCAGGTGCCTGTAATCCCAGCTACTTGGGAGGCTGAAGCAGGAGAATCGCTTTAATCCAGGGGACAGAGGTTGCAGTGAGCCAAAGATTGCACCACTGCACTCCAGCCTGGGCGACAGAGTGAGACTCCGTCTCCAAAACAAACAAACAAAAAAACAAAGTGAAAGGGTGCCCAAATATGGGTAGGTTTTGGCACATGGGAAGGATAGAAAGAGCTCAGTGTGGCTGTAGCATACACCATGCAGAAACCTGGCCTCTGCATCTATAAGGTGAAATGGCTTTGTAAACTATACAAAAATGTGAGATGTATTTATTTGCCCAAACTGTCATGCCCATCTGCATCAGAACACTCAGCAGAAAGCAGCATACAGAAGGAACTTAAGATCTGAAGAGAAATGACTTCAGCCTTTGCAAAAATTTCACCATGATGGGCTGTAAAGAAACTAGAAGGACTCCTTATTACCTTTACTGTGTCTCTCATTCACTCAACCAATGATTAAGTACCTATCATGTACCAGGCACTATGCTAGTGCTGAGGATTCAAGAGTGTCTAAGTCAGTTAAGTTCCTGGCTTCATGGAGTTTACAACCTAGACAAGGAGACAGGGCAGTTTACTATGCAGTGTACAGATAGCGAAGACTGGGACCACAGTGGAGGGATACCTAATCCAGACAAGGGCAGGAATAGCAGGGAAGGCTTCCTAGAGGAAGTGATTTCCAAGCTGAAACTTGACATATGGAACAAAAGTTAGCCAGAGATGGGAAAACTATTTTTGGTCAATGGAAGAGCAGGTGGTTGAGATAGAATCTGATACATGAGAGAAAAAAAAAAGTTCAGTGATGGGAAAATAGAGTATCAGAACAAGACAATATTAAACTGGTGGGCTTTGTAGGACATAGTAGGGAATTTAAGACTTTTTATTCTGAGGGCAATGGGGAAGTCACAAGAGGGAGTCAGGCACTTTACACAACTCATTTGCCTTGGAGGCAGTATAACTTAAGCAGGAGGGGGAAAATGGGCTTTGAAACAGACTCGGACCTAGCTTTGTCACTGCCTCATTTGGTGTCCTTGGACACGTCATTTGATAACCTCTCTGGAAACACAGAGATGAAGCTGGGTGCCATGGCTCACGCCTGTAATCCAGCACTTTGGGAGACTGAGGCTGCAGGATGGTTTGCGCCCAGCCTGGGCAACACTGCGAGCCGTGATCATGCCACTGCATCCCAGCCTGGGTGACAGCGGGAGACCCTGTCTCAAAAAAAAAAAAAAAAAAAAAAGATAAGGTTTGTAAGGAGGCTAGTACGTCTAAAGAGTTCAATAAATGATAGTTTTCTCTTCCTAAACAGGCCAGCAGCAAATAATTTAGAGAAAGAACAGTGGAATGGAAAGTGCCTTGGATCCTAAACCAAGAGATCCGTATTCGAATCCCAGCACTACGCCTTACTATGTAAACTTTTTCATTTTAGTTTCCCCATTAATAATATTTAATTCGCACAATAGAATGAAGATTAACGAATGAAAAGTGCTTGGGCTACAACAGGACTCAGTAAATGCTACTGTACTCTCCTCTCACCACCTTCTGGCTTCAGTCTCCGGAGTAAAATGAGGACGACCCCTGCTCAGAGATCAGGGTAGGCTAGATGGTTGGCAGCTGGATCGTGGAGGCTGGCCTAAACTAGGAAGTCATGGAAAGGATCTTAAAGCAGACAAATGCTGGCAGCCACGAGGCCTGAAGCGCCTCAGGGGCATCGCGGACTTTGAACTTTGAGGACGCATGCGCGCGCGCGGCCGCTAATCGCTGCACCTTTGGGCCCGCAACGCCTTCTGAAGAACGCGGTATGCGATGCTCACCGAATAGGTGGGAGAAGAGGGCCCGAACACACGCTCCTACGCAGCGGCTTGAGCTTCGCGGGCGGTTGAGGGTCCTCTGTCCATCCTTCCGGGAACCAGCCCCTCGTGTGGAGCGCGCACACGGAAGGGGCGGGGAACGTGAAAAAGGCACGTTTTCACTGGTGGCCTCTCGGTGTTGAGCCCACCCTCTGTCCTCGCCGCACCCTTCTCGGGGACCCACTTCCGGGAAGGGGCGGAAGAGGTGGGCTGGTGGAGGCGGGGTCGAGATGGCGGCGCCTTTGAGGATTCAGAGCGACTGGGCGCAAGCCCTAAGGTGAATCCAGGCCCAGGACAGAGTCAGAGGAGGAGGGTAGTGGATGTTGCTTTTGCGTCAAGGAAAGCCATGCCTGGTCCAGGATATCAATAGGGGTTACTTCATCAATTGTTGAGGGATATGGAGGGAATAGGGTCCGGAAAAAGAATTCTCAAACCCGTGTGGTCATTCTCTGAAAAGCTATCCCCAGGTCAAGGGAGCACATGAGTTGTGTGATCCCCGCGTCAGAATTAGTATCAGTGAGTTGGAGAAAGACAGGGGTACTGGAAGGCAGGAAGGCTCTTGGCCAAGCAGTCATTTAGCAAATATTGATTAGTCGTCAGTTATTTCCAGAAGTCCCTGTACTCACCACTACTTTGTGCATGTGATGGAACCTTTGTATTCTCCTAGGCCCCTTAATGCTATATTGGGCATACTGGACGATACTATTAAGGAAACTAACACTATGTCCAGGCCCCGTACTGGATGCTTGGTGGAGCTCAGATGTATACTCTAAATATAAGTGATGGTTCCTGCTCTTAAGAAGCTGACATCCAAGCCGGGTGCGGTGGCTCATGCCTGTAATCCCAGCAGTTTGGAAAACTGAGATTGGTGGATCATTTGAGGTCAGAAGTTCAAGACTAGCCTGACCAACATGGTGAAACCCTGTCTTTACTAAAAATACAGAAATTAGCCGGGTGTGGGAGTGGGCACCTATAATCCCAGCTACTCTGGAGGCTGAGGCAGGAGAATCGGTTGAACCCAGGAGGTGGAGGTTGCAGTGAGCTGAGATTGCACCACTGCACTCCAGCCTGTGTGACAGAGCGATACTCATCTCAAAAAAAAAAGAAAAGCTGAAATCTTAAGTAGGAATACACAGCCAACTATTCATTCATAAAACGTTTATTGATCTTATACTGTGCCAGTTGTTTCTCTAGGAATCAGGATGGATATAGCAGTGCCATATTTGTCAACTGCTACTGCTAATAAGGGTTTTTCAAATTGAAACAATGGTGAAGATGAATGAAACAGCCTTCTGCATTTAAGAAATTTTCACCTTACTAAATTTATACCTTACTTAATTTAGGTGGGCTAAAATACAGACTAGTTGCTAGTACACAGAATGTGATAAGTAGTAAAGAACAATAACATGGCCGGGCACGGTGGCTCAAGCCTGTAATCCCAGCACTTTGGGAGGCCGAGACGGGCGGATCACTAGGTCAGGAGATCGAGACCATCCTGGCTAACACGGTGAAACCCCGTCTCTACTAAAAAATAAAAAAAACTAGCCGGGCGAGGTGGCGGGCGCCTGTAGTCCCAGCTACTCAGGAGGCTGAGACAGGAGAATGGCCCGAACCCGGGAGGCGGAGCTTGCAGTGAGCTGAGATCCAGCCACTGCACTCCAGCCTGGGCGACAGAGCGAGACTCCGTCTCAAAAAAAAAAAAAAAAAAAAAAAAAAAAAAAACAATAACATGAAGTTCCACTAGGTACCTATAAGAAAGTACAGCACCAGAATCAGAAGGCTTAACTTGGCCAAGATCATGCATCTCATCAAATGATAGAGGGTTACTGTCAACCTAGATGTTTCTGTCTTAAAAGCATAGACCCTTTCCATTAGACCCTAAAAGTGCTAGGGTGAAGAGATCAGGATTTAGATGATTGGGCAGGTGCCGAAATAATAAAAGGAATCTTTGGTTATTGTGAGAGTTAATGATTGTATATGGAAAGTGCTTAGCACAGGGCTTGGTTTACAATAATCCTGATAAATATCTAATTAGATAACCTTGATTTTTCAAAGTGAGCTCACTGTTGATGGATGAGCATTAATTTAAACAACAGATATCTATTCATTAAATAGTTAATCCACAAATACTTCTTGAACAAATAAAGTTTGTCTGTGTTAGAATGATGTATACCTGATGAGAGGTTGAACTAGCTCGTGTCTAAGTACTGTGACCAAACTGGAGGTTACATGACCTTCTTTCTTCCCTTGTAACTATGGGATCCTGTTCAACTTTGGTGAGCCTAATTAAGCTTTTGTCTTTCTTCATAGGAAGGATGAAGGGGAGGCCTGGCTGAGCTGTCATCCCCCAGGTAATACCCTATATGCTGTCACTTTAAAGAAGAAGGATTATTACCCTTAAAAGAAAGCTTCCTATTTTCTCTTGGCCCAGCCTCCTTATATAATACTTATAGTCTGCAAATATGCTTGACCAGTCAGTACTGTATAGCTAACACCCCAACTCCTCCATTCCAAGGAAGGCCTTCAGATTGATTTTCCATTTGAAAGCCACAGACTTATTCATGGAGACATTGTTGATGCATCTTAATTAATCACTTACCCTGTGCTGTTGTATTCTAAGCACTTCTGCAGCTTTAACTGGGACCTTCTTGATGATAATTTCTAGATCTATAGCTCCAGCCCTGACTTCTCCATGTTCAAACAGAGATTGATCAGTTGTTTGCTGGAGATTTCTGCTTAAAGGTCTCACTGTCACCTTAAGTTACTTGACTTACTGAAGTCCAAAACCAAGCTGAGTACATTTGTTGTCAAGTGAGTTCTCTTTCTTGATTTTCTCATTTCTTAAGTTACCATCATTTTTCTAGGCACCAGAGTGAAAAACCTAGTTATTTGACCCTGCCATATCCAGGAAGCTCCCAAGTCTTATCAGTTTTTCTTTTGAACAACACTCTTTATTTCATTCACAGGATTCTTTTCAAATTGGTAACCAATGTGGTACCATTCTAAAACAAATCAACCTTCCTTCTAAATTCTGTGAGAAAGTTTTGTTTTGCTGATTATCTTTCATTTCAAATGCTGCTGATATATTGTATTTCTATGAGAAATAAAGTTTTGGCCAGGCACAGTGGCTCACACCTATAATCCTAGCACTTTGGGAAGCTGAGGCAGGAGGATCACTTGAGCCCAGGAGTTCGAGACCAGCCTGGGAAACAAAGTGAGACGCCCATCTCTATAAAAAATAATAAAAAAAAAATAGGCATAGTGGCATGCTTGTATAGTCCCAGCTACTTGGCAGGCTGAGATAGGAGGATCTCTTGAGCCCAGGAGGTTGAGGCTGCAGTGAGTTACAACTGAACCATTGCACTCTTGCCGGAGTGACAGAGTGAGACCCCATCATTTAAAAAAAAAAAAGATTATTGTTTATATCAGTGGAATAAAGGACTGACTTTATAGTGTTGTGACTTGCCAATCATCTTAAAATATAAGGCCAGATGTGGTGGCTCACACCTATCATCCACCATTCTGGAAGGCCAAGATGGAGGATTGCTTGAGACCAGCTTGGGGAACATAGGGAGACCTTGTGTCTACAGCAAATAAAACTAGCTGGGCATGGTGTTGGGTGTCTGTAGTCCCAGCTACTCAAGAGGCAGAGGTGGGAGGATTGCTCAAGTCCAACAAGTCAAGGCTGCAGTGAACTGTGATCATGCTACTACTGGATCTCCTACCCTGATCGGGTAGCCGTGATCATGCTACGTGATCTCCTACCCTGGACCAGAAAGTGAGACCCTGTCTCTAAAAAAAGAAACACACACACAAATATACAAATATATATATACACACACATACATACACATATATACATATATATGTAACATAAAAATTCAAGGACAATACTGTATTTTATTTTACCTATTTTATTGTGCTTAATTATGTTCAAAAATCCTATTCTAACTGCTTGAGCTAGGATTGTGCCACTGTACTCCAGCCTGACAGACACAGTGAAACCCTGTCTCAATTAAAAAATAAAAATAAAAAAAATTAAAAAGCTGGGCACAGTGGCTCTACTAAAAAAAAATACAAAAAATTAGCCAAGCATTGTGGCGGGTGCCTGTAGTCCCAGCTATTCGTGAGCCTGAGGCAGGAGAATGGCATGAACCCAGGAGGCAGAGCTTGCAGTGAGCCGAGATCATGCCACTGCATTCTAGCCTAGTCAACTGAGCAAGACTCCGTCTCAAAAAAAAAAAAAAAAAAAAAAAAAGCTGGGCACGGTGGCTCACGCCTGTTATCCCAGCACTTTAGGAAGTCATGGTGAGCGGATCACCTGAGGTCAGGAGTTTGAGACCAGCCTGGCTAACATAAAACCCTGTTTCTACTAAAAATACAAAAAATTAGCCGGGCATGGTGGTGCTGCCTGTAATCCTAGCTACTCAGGAGGCTGAGGCAGGAGAATCGCTTAAACCCATGAGGTGGAGGTTGCAGTGAGTGGAGATCGCGCCATTGCATTCCAGCCTGGGTAACAAGAGTGAAACTCCGTCTCAAAAATAAATAAATAAATAAATAAAAGTAAAAAAAAAATACACAAAAGACCTACGTTTTATTTTAACTAAAATATATAAACATACATTAAAATTCACCATCTCTTCATTAGTCTACTGATTATTACAAGGACCTTGGCTTTCTTATAATAAACCATAACCGAAAGGCACCGTTTCTTTAAAGCAAGGCAAATCTTTACTTACGCTAAAAAAGCAATCTAAGAGCAAAATGTCAACTGGGGTTTATATTTTTTTAGATCTTTTCCCTAACATTTTGCATTTATCTTGCCCATACATACTATTAAAGCAGTTTTTTTAAACAGAGTCTTGCTCTGTCACCCAGGCTGGAATGCAGTGGCATGATCTCAGCTCACTGCAACCTCCAGTCCCGGGTTGAAGCGATTCTCGTGCTTCAGCCTCCTGAATAGCTGGGACTACAGGTGCATGTTACCATGCCCAGCTAATTTTTGTATTTTTAGTAGAGACGGGATGTCACCAT